TTTTTTTATATATCATCGTCGCTGGACGTTACAAGCAGTGGGATATTACGCCCCGATGTACCAGAAAGGGTAAGATTTATTTATAAAATGCAGTGCAGGTTTTCGCGTAAATAAATTCAATGTATAAGCGCAATTTTTAAAATTCATTTTATTTGAAACGAACGAACCGCAAAATTAACACATTCCAAATTGTATAATTGAATATCTACAAATCTTATTCATTTAAATGGAAATAGGAAAAGTAACAACAATGCGGTCACAATCGTAAAGGCTTCAAGTTAAGTGCATAGGAGTATAAACTTTCTAACCTCAACAAGCTCATGAATTATTAGTTCTTATGAAGTAGAATTTATATTAAAAATAAAAAAAAAAAAATATGTATCTTTGTAAAATTGAACTTAAGCAACTGAAAACAAGATATTTGTAAAAAAAAAATATATTCTGTTATATGCAAACATAATCTTAATTAATTATAAAGTGTAACATTAAGAATTTAATTATTTAATCCACATTTAAGGAATGTAAAAATATAACATAAAATTCTAAGTAAAATATCAAAGTAATCTTCACACGACTACGCTTAATAGAAATTCTTCTTCCCTTATATTTTTATTTGAAAATATTTTATGAATTTTATGAATTTTGTTGTATTTAAGTGAACACGAAATTGCATTTATAAAACTTTAAACTTAAAATATGATTAATTAATGTTGTTTTTTTTTAAAATTGAAAACAGTTAAATATTATTTGCTTATTATTATATACGAGTATTTGTAAAGATATTATTTGATAATTTTTTTTCTTTAAAATACATTTATTGCTATATTACACATATACATATATTACAAATTGTTCAATAAAGTAAATCTTGAATTATAAAGAAATAGTTTTTTGTACTGGATCTTACTTCGCGACGGTGGAAACTACATTGGTTGAACGCTTGGGTCCCCGCGAATACAAATTTCTTGTAAGACCTTGGACTAGGCTGAGGACTACTCCGGCTACGAAAATTAGGTTCATTACAAGTGGCGCCCGAGCAGGGACCCTCGACTAAAGTTCAACACAATACGTCGAAACACAGCTAGGTTATTTAGTTTCAGATATCACTAAACATCTTGTATCAGTTAATATGGGTCGCAGCTGGGTAAGAAATCTACGGAAAGAAGAGCTAGTCGCTTATTTAGACGAATTCGAACAAGATTCAACTGGTGTCGTCGATGAATTGCGCCGGCGATTGGCAAACTTTATTGCACAAGCTGACCACAAACCGCAGATAATCACACGATTAAAAGAACTTGAAGATAGACATAGCAGAGTGTCCGTAGGTGAAGTAGAAAACGATCACGCCGTGGATGAAATACCATTGCCACCCCCAGAATAGACAACGGAACGATGCCAAGATAATATCCCACAATTGACTCTCCCTTTATATCAGCAGCAGTACACGCAACATACATCACACGTCCCATATACACTACCTAGGACCACGCAAGCAACAGTCATCGATCAGACTAGAAAATGGGCGGTCCGATTTGATGAGAGTGGCGATCCGTTAGCGTTTGTGGAGCGTGTGGAAGAGTTAGCAAGTGGATATGATCTTGCTAAAAATATGCTACCTCGTGCGATGCCAGAATTACTGAAAGGGCAGGCCTTAGTATGGTTCCGTCACAATAAAGGGGACTGGGACCACTGGGAGCAGTTTAAATCTGATTTTCTGGAATTTTTCCTACCTCATCGTTACTTCGAGCGCTTAGAAGACGAGTTAAGAAATCGAATGCAGAAACCTGGTGAATCATTTAAAACATACGTGTTGGAATTGCAAAAGTTGATGCAACATTTGAAAATGGACGATGGAGCAAAGCTTGAACGATTCTACCGAAACAGTTTAACAGAATACAGTATGCATATAAAGCGACGCGAGTTTAGTACGTTACGAGAGCTTATATTACTCGCTAACGATTACGAAGCAGTTCGAGATGAAGGAAAGAGCAGAAAACCAACACCAGAACGACGAGATAAACCGATGGTACTTGCAGCAGTGGAACCAATAAACTTAGCTTCAGCTTGTTTTCGATGTGGACGACAAGGACACCAAGCGCGGGGATGTCAGAACCCTCGTATTCTATTCTGTTGGCAGTGCGGTAGACGCGATGTACGGACAATTGATTGCTGCCGAAAAGTTCCGGGAAACTTCCAGCGGTCACGCCGTCCAGAAGCAAGGGGCGTGACCGAAATGCCAACACCGGCTGAGAACCATTCCTAATCGAAAATAATCGTCTGCTTGTCAAAATATTCGTTCAGGATCAACAGATGACAGCCATGATTGATACAGGGGCCAGTAAATGTTTTATTCATCCGGGCATAGCAAAACGTTTATATGGCAAACACAACGAAGTAGACTTGGTGGTACGTTTGGCAGATGGTTCACCGCGGAACATAAATACAATAATTCACACATCACTGCGAATCGGGGCCTGTGACTATGCAGTTGACCTATTAGTGTTAGAAGGAATGGTACATGATATGGTCTTGGGGATGGACTTCCTGATTTCTGCGTCAAGTATTTTCAAAATAGGAGAAAACACAGTTAAACTTGGTAGAACTACAAATGTGAAACGAGAGATGGTAATGCTGAACTCTACAGTAAGTGAATCGGAACACATAGAGCAATTCCTAGCTCGAGAATTAGCAAAGTTCGACAATCTTGAGGGATTGTCTAATGTCACCACACATTCCATCACCATGAAAGATGACAAACCGATTAAGCAAAGATACTATCCTCGAAACCCGGTCATGCAACAAATATTGGACAAAGAAATCAATGAATTACTACAGAAAGGTTGTATCGAACGCTCTCATAGCCCTTATAGCTCACCGGTGGTATTAGTGAAGAAAAAGGATGGTAGTTGGCGACTTTGCATAGATTATCGTCAGGTAAATGCACACTCAATACCAGATGCCTACCCAATTCCTCGTATACAACACATTCTAGATCAACTCAGAGACGCCAAATATATCAGCAGCCTTGATCTCAAGAACGGGTATTGGCAAATACCAATGGCTGAACAAAGTAAAGAATATACTGCGTTTACAGTACCTGGACGAGGGCTATTTCAGTGGCGCGTGATGCCTTTTGGATTGCACTCCGCTCCAGCAACATTTCAACAAGCGTTAGACACAGTGATTGGACCTGATATGGAGCCTTTTGCTTTTGCATATCTCGATGACATTATCATAATTGGTCATACACTGGAGGAACATATGGAAAATTTGCGAAAGGTATTTCAGCGACTAAGATGTGCAAAACTGAAAATCAACGTACAGAAATGTAAATTTTTCATGAAGGAAATAAAGTATCTTGGGCATTTGGTGACACCACATGGAATACACACTGATCCCGAAAAGATTGCAGTCATAAAAGAGTTACCTGTACCAAAAGATCTCAAGGAACTACGACGGTGTATTGGAATCGCCTCGTGGTATCGCCGTTTTGTACCACACTTTTCAAATACAATACAACCTCTTACGATGTTCTTAAAGAAAGGTAAACGATGGCAATGGACGTCAGAGCAACAAGTGGCGTTCGATATGTTGAAAGAAAAATTAACGAGTGCCCCAATTCTAGCGTGCCCCAACTTTACCGAACAATTTGTATTGCAGACAGATGCCAGTAATTTTGGACTTGAAGCAATACTGACCCAAGAAATAGCCGGCGAAGAAAAGGTGATAGCTTATGCAAGTCGCAGTTTAAATCCAGCTGAGAAAAACTACTCGACGACTGAAAAGGAGTGTCTGGCGATTGTCTGGGGAGTAAGAAAAATGAAACAATATTTAGAAGGTTATCATTTCGTAGTCATAACCGATCATCTGGCGCTGAAATGGTTAAACAACATTGAAAATCCAACTGGTCATATCGCTCGCTGGGCGCTAGAGCTACAACAATACAATTTTGAGGTACAATATAGAAAAGGAAAGTATAATGTCGTCGCCGATGCACTATCTCGTCAACCTCAAACTACACTGGCCTTGGTGAATATACCTGATACGACGAAAGAAGATGGACAGTCTTGTATATGGTTAACGAACTTAAGAAGAGCAGTAACCGATAATCCAAGTAAATACCCCGACTATACTATCGAAAATAATCAGCTGTACCGTCGTATACCCAACTCTTATAGCAACGAGGGACACCCTTGCTGGAAACTGTGTGTACCTCAATCCATTCGGCCTCAAGTATTAAAAGAGTGTCACAATGATATCACGGCAGGGCACTTAGGTAGTCAGAAAACGATCCTTCGAGTTACATCGAGATATTTTTGGCCAGGAATGTATCGCGACATCAAAGAATATGTGCGGAAGTGTGATACATGTCAAAAATACAAGGTCAGT